GTAATAGTCTAGCATAACAAATGGGATTCACAAAGTTAGATTAGTTTACTATGTGTATGGTTAAAATGTGTAAGAATTACTAACTGACAAAATATAGAATGTGATCAACATTTTACTAAACCCAAGGAGATGGAATAACAAACGCCCATTAAAGACAAAATAATTAAAAGGAAGAAATCATGAATGAGCTAGTACTTAGAATGATTTAGTACTTAGCTTATATTTTCAGTACAGTTTGCAAATAAAATATTTTGAAAAAATATGAATTTTTTTGAAAAAATATTGGCTAAAACATGTTAGTAAAATGTAAATTATAGGGCTGGGGAAATAGCTAAGCGATTGTGAAAGTTTCTTGCTCTTGCTGAGGAACTGAGTTTGGTTCCCAGCACCCACATTATTGTTCACAACCAGCATTAATTCCACTTTCAGATCTGATGTACTCTTCAGGTACATATTTGGCACACAGACATAATACATAATATAAAATAAAATGATAACAACAACAACAACACAAAAGTAAATGTTAAAATTTTAAAGTATTACTATTGGAACCAAAGAATAGTGTTCATATTCATTCAAATGGTACAGGGAATATTGACTCTGTAGACAAGGTAATTTGGAAGATCACATGTAGTAACATATTGTGTACCCTAATAAACTTGCCTGGGGTTCAGAGGACAGAGCCAGCCCTAGATTAGACATAGAGGCCAGACAAGTGGTGGCACACACCCTTAATCCTATCACTCACGAGGTAGAGATCCATCTGGATCTCTGTGAGTTCAAGGCCACACTGGGAACAGAGCCAGGCAGTTGTGGCACACACCTTTAATCCCAGTACTGGGAAGCACACATGACTTTAATCCCAGGAAGTGACAGCAGGGCAGAGAAAGGTATATAAGGCATGAGGAAACAGGAACTAAAGCAGTTCACCTGGGATCCTTTCCAACGAGTACTCAGAGGCTTTCAGACAGAGGATTCAGGGAGTTGGCAAGGTAAGGTTGGCTGTGGCTTGCTCTGCTTTCTGATCTTTCAGCTTTCACCCTAATATCTGGCTCTGTTTTTTTTTTTTTTTTTTTTTTTTTTTAATTATAACACATTTAAGATTTGAACAACAGTCACATATTTCAAATGCCATGGGAACTTACAATGGAAAGTCCTCCTCATGTCCCACAGTATTAATGAACTCTAGACACCCAGGACACAACCTTCTGGCTCTGGATTTCCTAGCTACTAGCCCTTCACTGCATGTAAGTGTAAGGTCATCTTGAATTGTTTGGCCAAAAACATCTATGACCTTTTTGTTGTTTCTGAACCTTTTCAAATGCTTTACACAGATCCCTTCCCCAATGAGGTATGTAGAATTTGATTATAAGGAAAATAAAATCAGCTTTTATTTACCCAAGTATGAAAATGTCACAAGTGTATATTACCTCCATTAAGGCACAGACAGATTTCAAGGAGACCATCAGAAAAGGGATTATAAAATCAAAACCTAGTCAAGATATGTAATTCAGTTTGTTCAGTTATTTTCAAAGAACAACATGTAATAAGATGCAGGTAAAGCCACGGAACACATGGTGATACACAGATGAATGGAATAGCCAAACACTCTAATTGTCCTGCTAGAAACCCCATCCAACTACTGAGGGATCTGGATGCAGAGATCCATGGCTAGGCCCCGGGTAGAGCTCTGGGAGTCCAATTAGCGAGAATGAGGAGGGTTTATATTAGTGAGAATTGTTGAGACCAAGGTTGGATTAAGCACAGGGACAAATAGCCAAAGGAATGGAAACACATGAACTATGAACCAATGGCTGAGGGGTCACCACCTGGATCAGGCTCTCTGAATGGGTGAGACAGTTGATTGGCTTGATCTGTTTGGGAGGCACCCAAGCAGTGGGGCCGGGTCCTGTGCTCATTGCATGAGTTGGCTGTTTGAAATCTGGGGCCTATGCAGGGTCTCTTAGCTCGGCCTGGGAGGAGGGGACTGGACCTGCTTGGACTGAGTCTACCAGGTTGATCCCAGTCCGTGGGGAAGGCTTTGCCCTGGAGGAGGTGGGAATGGGGGGTGGGCTGGGGGGAAGGTGAGGGGGGCCGGAGGGGGGAGAACAAGGGAATCTGTGGTTGATATGTAGAACTGAATTGTACTGCAAAATAAAAATAAAAAAAAAAGAAATGGGTTAATTTAAGATGAAGGAGCTAGTTAGCAAGAAGACTGCTATAGACTATAAGTTGGTAATTAATATAAGCCTCTGAATGATTTTTTTAATAAACTGCTGTGGGACCTCAGGGCTGGGTGGGACCGGAGAAACTTCTGCTACAATCAAGATATGTAATTCAGTTTGTTCAGTTATTTTCATTTGTTTTACACTCAGAATAACTCCTAACTACATCTTATACTTCTAGAAATTAGTTTATAGTGATAACATTTTAAGTAGAGATGATGTAGTTATTAATGACCTAAAGGCCTCAGTGGATGAGAAGCTCTGGACAGGAAAGTTGACTTGATTGATAGCATTTGTGGAAGCTTGTGATGAGGTCCACATACCAAACCCCCTGGTGTCTAGCACCTCTGCTGCAGGGGAAATGACCTGCAGATGGACTCTTTCCATACCCAGTCTTCCCTTTTCCATCCTTTAAAAGCCCAAGGTGTGTCCTGCACGTGTGCACACTCTCACTTTTACAGGGACTGTGGCCCTCAGTCGTTCTGATTGAAGAACAATTCCCCTTCTGGAGATGCCTGTTAGCTTTTTTCTGTTTCCACTTCACATCCATCAATCCCAATCTAACATTCATCATAGGTAGAAGCAGGAAACTGATAAACTGTGAACATAATATCTGGTAACCAGGCATTGGCAGCACAAGCTCATAATCCTAGAACTAGGGAAGTGGAGTGAGGAGGTCAGGAATCCAAGTTGGCTTTCATGACATGGTCAGCTTGAAGCCAAAAGACTCTACATGAGACTCTGCCTCAAAAATAGTGGCAAAATGCTTGGAGGCTCTGATGGTTGGAAGTTGCAGTCTACCATGGCCTGGCAGCTCTCTCAGAGCTCAGCAACATGGATGACACCCCACCCCCAACCCCATGTAGAAGGTGCCCTGTTCTCAACTTGACCTTATGTGGAGACTGTCTGTAGGCCCAGATGCCTGACTTATCTCTAGTATGACTCTTGACACAGTTCCCCACAGAAGCTTTCCCCCTGCTGCCTATATGGTAATTAAACATGCTAGGAGTATTACCATAGGACCTTGCTTTCACATATGCTACCTAAGGCTTTACTAGGAACCTTATAATGGGAATGTGCTGTTTAATGCAAATTAGGTGATGCCCCAGCCTTAATATCTCTTCTCACTCTGGAATAAAGCTGAGCTGATTCATGAAGTCATCTTCTGGGCGCTTTCTCCATTGTGCTCACAGCCATGTAAAGCTCTCTGTCATCATTTCTGTTCCTTGTCTTCGTGGACTGGTGGCCAACAGTCCATGAGGGGAAATGGGGGACCCCTACAGCAAAACATATGTCAACATAGCTCACAACCTAACTTTTGGTTAAACTTGTGTATCAAAAGACAAGACTGCCACACTAGAGAATATTTAAAGGTACCATATGAATGCCTATTTTACTTTGATGACCAGATAGCAAGGACCTCCATGAAATCTTAAAAATTCAGTACAAGAGCTGAACTTCTAATTAAAACAAATTTTATTAATATAAAATACATTCAAATTTGGTGAGGAAGTGGAAATTGCAGTTAGAAAACCCCTGCTGTAGAGGACAAGACAGTGGAAGGTGTTCCCTAAAAGTATCTGTGTGAATGTCCATTTCTGGAACTGAAGTCTGTGTTGGTCACACAGGACCATTTACACACTATTCTGGGAGAAGTACGCACAAACATGGAAGAACTGCTTACCCTGCCATACCTGTAAGGATAAATTCTCATTCATTTCTGCTCAGTGAGGAACCCAGACAGAAGAATGAAAACATTCTCTATGAATTCCATGTAGTTACTCCACAGTGGCTATCATAGATATTTACAGTCATAAACTTCAGTACTGCAGAGAGGCATCCTGACATTTCCTCCCCTCTTCCTTTTGACGCATATTGGTTTCTTACTAAAATCCTTACCAGCAAGAGGTAGAAAGTGGAAGAGATAATTGTTATAGATTTTCAGATTAATAGCCTTTAATATAACAGATTTTATTAAGTTTTGCTGTTCACAGAGGGTCATACTGCAGTATCACACAGAGAGGCTAAGAAGATTCCAACTTAACCATAAAGGCACAGGAAAACAGCCATGTTAACAATACAGAGATTGTATAGTAATGCATGAAGTGGCATGCTAGTCAAAATTTAAATGATATTCAGCCTGTAAAAAAGTTTTTTAAAGCCTCAATATATAGTGCTTTCCAGTTTCTGAGGTATAGATACTCCCATATGACTGATTAATATAACTGAGGAAGATGCAGAGACACTGTTTCAGGATACTTTCATCACATAAGACCAGTAGGTGTGAAAACATTCACAAGAGGCTGTCAGAGGGCAAACTTATCCACTAGATACTTCATTAACACCTGCAGACTGAGGTATACTGGGATGATTATGACCAGAACAAAATCACTTTCAAAAACCTGCCTTTATAATGCTATATAGATAATTCCCCAGTAAAACCAAGGTGAAGAAAACTCAGTAGACTTCTTAACCTTTTGACAGTGACATAAATGGATTACTTCATAGCTGATGCCCACTTCTCTTTGCCTGACAGATTAGGGAAAAATTGGTCTTAACTTCCTTTTTCATGGAATCTGAAGAATTTCTGAGTACTTATTTGTACACCAGAACTTGAAGCTATTCATTTGGTGTAAGATGAAAGCTAAGGCTCAGCAGAACACCTGACCTATGCTCAATGCCCCACAGATAACAGGAGACTGAGCAGAGTGTAAGCAGGTCTACAGACCTGTTGCAGACCAGCAGGAGCAAGCGCTAACTGCATAGCAGCCCTACCTCTTGAAGCACTCTCTTCATCTTCAGAAGCAGCGTCTTCACTGCCGTGCACTCCTGTAGCATCAGTCTGAACGGCAGGGAATCTACACCTCCATTTTCCTCCACACCCAGCAGGGGCCAGTCTGTGGAGGGACTGTTGGGCATTCGGCCGACATGGGAACACCGGGCTTCTTGATCAATGTCTTTTGTTATTTTCAGGGAAAGGCTCCTAACAAGAAACAAAGATCAAAAATTACAATGTGGTGTGCTTAAAGCAGCATTTCCTCCAGTGTCAATCAGTGTTAATATAACACTAAATACTTCCTGTGAACTTTGTCATTTTCTCAAGTTAGTCTTTGAAGTACTCAGACCTTCAGCAGAAATTATGAATTGCATATTTAGTGGTAAAATTCAATGAAGATTACAGTTTTAGACCATGATATTTCCTCAATCAGTATTTCATTTATACATGGTGCTTATTTAAACCATTTATAAATGTTGAGACAATAAAAACCACTAGAAGACAAATTTCATATCTAAAGTTTCTGATGATACGCTTACATTAACTTGAATGAAAGTATTCAGAGGCAAAATTGTAAGAAATTAGTTTAATAGATACTGATGTAAATTGCTAAATCGACCAATAACAATTTTAATTAGAAAGGCAGCACACATAGGATTTTATGTTTAAAAAAAAGTGGCATAAGTAGAAAATGTGTAACTCCACAGTGGCATTAGCATGGAAAGGAAGAAAACTATGTCACACCTGAAAAACTGTCAATCCAGCACGAGGCCCATTTTTTTCTGAAGGCAAGTGACAAAAGGAACATTGAGGAAAAGTCCCCTGCTCCAGACCCCATACACAAACACAGCCCACGTGTCTAAAATCAGATGCAGGTTTTTAAAAGGTCCCTCCTCCTTCTGCACCAGAGATATGGATGCTGACTTCTGAAGAGAGTTCTCCATGCCCTGGTCCTGAGGTACAGCAGAGGACCCCAACACGCCATGCTGACTAAGGCTTGTCTTTACTTACTTTCTCATTTATTTCCACCACCTAACTTGCTGTCCTAAACCCTCAGCCACTTTCTTTGTCTTGTTAATTCTCTATAATCTACCCTCTGTTAGTTAAGATGTGTAATAATTTCAGCACTAACTGTCCTTTAAGTCACTCCTCACTCCTCACAGTGCTGGCTGTGGGTGAAGTCACAGCTGTTAGTAAGTTGCTCATGCTCCCATAATAAACCCCTCTTCCCTCAGTCTAGTTTACAGGACCCTACCTGAGGAACCTGGGAGGGTAGGGGAAAGAATCAAACAGAGCCTGCATGAAAAACAGTGTTTTCTAAATTGGTAAGAGATATTTTAACAGGGGTGGATGACAGTCTAATAACAAAATAAACACTCGTTACAAGACTCTCAGAGACATAAGAACTATGAAAGTATTAGTTATGTTTACATGCATGTACACTGTGTTGTTATCTGGAGAAATCTTACACTTAGCTCTAAGTCCAAAGCTATTTACTGCTTCTGCAGCTTCCTGAGACATAGGGTGAAGATACAGCTTTACCTACTCCTTACTTGTTAAATTTGAATATAATGATGCATATGAAAGATCACCATGGGAGTGGGACAGTACCAAACATGCTCTACATGCTTATGTACAGTTCAAATACAGATACAAGATTATAATAGCAATAACTAGCTTCTCACTTTAGCTGATATTTGTAATTTATGCTTATGAATATAAGTAGACAATTGTTATACAAAATCATATAATTCAGATTTTAAATGATTTTTCTCTAAGTAATCTGAGTTTTATAGAATAATTGAAAAAAATATTTCACTTTTTGCATCTTTGCCTGAATTTAATAGAAAGAATCAGGGCAGCGCTTTGTACATTCCCAGCTTAGGTTGCTAGTGCTTATGTCATGCAATTCAGAACAGATAGGAGAGAGAGAGAGAGAGAGAGAGAGAGAGAGAGAGAGAGAGAGAGAGAGACATGAAAACTGGAGATCTCTGCAACTGTCAAATATCTAATATGGGCAAGAAACAGAAATACACACGGAAGATAAAATTAGCCATGAGTTTTATACTTCAGCAGTTGAAAGAGGTTTTTCACAATGAAGATTTTCACAATTTTTTTCTCAATTGTGAAAATGCACAATCCGAGGCAAGTGATAGTGGCTGAAGTTGTGAGAGCTGAACACTGTCATCCACTCTGGAGGCTCTCCTCAGCTCTGCACCTCTTACTAGTTGATTCCAAATAATAATTACAAATGAAAGCATCCTAAGATATTTTACTTGCATAAGAAGAAGCAGACCTATTATGAGAGCACAGTGAATACAAATCTGATGGGATCAGCAACAGATTGCTGAGCTATCCTGGTCTTCAGGAGCACTTCTCACACTGCCAGTCCCTATGCTTATGATTGTGACCATTACTTTTCTGACTGATTAGAGCACAGGGCTTATGTTTAATAACAGTCAACAGCATAATTAGTATTGTAAATATTAACATTTTTAAAAATCCGAACATTATTGTACCTAAAGCACCCAAGTGTCTAAGCAAATTCAATGAAGAATGATCTGATGATGTGAAAAGCACAAAACATTCACACAGGAGGTCCTAGTTCTGTCTACCTGGTAAGTGTGGAAGCCCCAGTGCTCTTGTGATGATAAGTAGGCAAGGTTCAGAGGACAAAGCAGTTCCTGAACTTGGGGATGACACCCCACTTTTGGCTGTCTTCTGATTACTGGGTTCAGTAGTTCATTAATCATTAAAACCACCACAAACAAAAACAAAGAATGCACTGTCTACTGGCCACCACTCACCCAGGTTACCTACAGGAACATTTGTAGGACTGTATGAAAGTAGCCACACATTCCCTCAAGCCCAGAATGGATGAGAGAGTCTTTATAATTTAAATTTTAGTTATATTTATATAAGACTGAATTGAGACTTATGGACCTTTCTCAATCAATAACTAAAATAAATGAGTTCCCATAAAAAATAATTGAAATAATAAATGTTGTAGTAACAGTATTCTCAAGGACCAGAGGATTTGAGAGTATAAACTGGTACTGAAAACATTTAACTTTAATCTACTATAGTGAACTGACTTCATAGGTTTGGCACTCGGAGTCCTTGTGAGATAAGAATTATTTTTACCAAGCTTTCTAATATAAATCTATTTTAGTATGACAGACAAGCTTAGTGGAGAATATATTTCTTGACACAAAGTACAGAGGCATTAGAGCATTTTTCCTAGCCACAGAGAAAAAAATATGAGCATTTTTACAATATTCCTCTAATTTTTTTTGAAATAAAATACCAATTTGATAGTGACAAACTTTCTTTGCACTACAAGAACTTTTTCAAATCATTCAAAAACACAAAGTCAACATAAGTCATGAAATGCAAGGTGTGTCACCCACCACCTCTGACTACCTTCCTGTCACATGAGCTGTTCGGGAGTTCTGCATTCCTGACATTCTTCACTGTAGAGACTGTCTACAGTCAACATGCACTCCAGTGACATCTCTACTGGAATCTGAGGAATCATCTCAGTGACTTACAAATGTCCCAGGAATAGACAGGTCACAGTCACCTAACCTCTAACCACCCAAAGAAATAAGCAAACAAAACAAACCAGACTTCCAACAATATATGTAGATTTATAGATAATTAAATAAAAAACTGAATTTGGGAAATCTGCTATATATATCTAATTTTATGAAAGCTTAGATTATTTGTGTTGGGTTTAAGATGAGTTGGAGTGTGACTAAGACACATACAGCAGCATAAATATAGATCAATGAACTGACATCCTAGAGTGTAACCTAAACTGCCTGTTCAAGGAATTATCCACAAAATTCTAATGATCATTTCATTCATCAATCACCTGTTTCCTCTCAATGTATAGTGTCTCTGTTGTTTTGGGAAATATCTACTTTGAATTTTGTTTCTGGTTGAATCTTTGAACATTTAGACATGTTTAAGGACAGAATCAACATTCTCTCTCTCTCTCTCTCTCTCTCTCTCTCTCTCTCTCTCTCTCTCTCTCTGTAAGTTGTAAGAACTTAATACTTCACCATTAGATAAAAAAATGTACACATAACTAGTTATTTTACCACAATCTATGATGTAGACAAAAGAAGGTTAGATTGAACATATCTTGGAATAACCTACAAGTCTGTCATGGTGCAGCCACTGTCAATTTCTCCACATCTCACTCACATCACATCCTTATACTTGATCCCTTCACAGTGCCCTCACTCAGGCCCTATGCAATGCCAAACTCTGCCCTGCCTCAGAGCGTTTACATATGTGTTTTCTGCACACAAACATTCCTTTCTCACCTTCAGTTTCCCTTCAAGATATACATTTAAGGGAAACTTTGTACTCAGCAAATATATCACCCAACCAAAAGTACACAGATTCCACTTTCTAGTAAGCTTTTCTTCACAGTAGTTACTAAATGTGCAGTTAAGACACATTTTGCAGAGATCACTGGGAACACACTAAGCTACACACTTCATGTTCTACAAACAAGTGAGTGCTTCACAAGGTACCATCACAGTCACCTTTTAAAATATTGCCAGTCAAAAGGAAAAAGACAAATGGATTTCCAGGTGCCCAAAGGAGAATCAAAGCAGCAACGTTTATGCAAACTGCCATTTGCAGTGGTTTCCTTTCCAATTTTGAGGAAAGATGCATATGGTGAGGATGCTAAGCTGCTCAACAAAAATTTGAACGTTCTTGCTTTGCCTTAAAAAATAGTGTTTATCCTGGCTGTCTATCATTAGAATCTTCTCCACAACCTAATATCTCATGGTTACTTCTCTCAGGCTCTCTGTCTGTGATATGACATATGCCTTGAGATGAAATTTAAAGATCATTATACTTATTAAGAGCTGGAATCAATGAACACTGAAATGTTTATAATAAGATGAAGAAAATAATGACCCAAATCAGTGTTTATAGAAATTATCCTACATATGTAAATCTCTGCTCAAATGCATATGTTTTTCATTGTGATTTATCATCTTACTACAGGTGTCCTATGCTTCTAGTTTTCTGTAATTGGGCTAACAATACAACCAGGTATCTTTCCCAGAGAACTAAAACACACTAAACCCAAGGCACCTCATATACATGGAAATAAATTTAACTCTGTGTTTTTCTCTGATACTGTAAAAGTGATTCTTTAGAAAAATCTCCCACTGCTCATT